GGTGGTCAGAGCCTAGATCTGTGCAGGATAATCTCAGCAAGTGAGCAGGAGGTTTAGGGAGTAGTATTGGTTCTGGGACTTTCAAATCCAGGGAAGTTCAGGCTGAACCTGACATCTGGTCATGCGTTTGAGGCCTGAGTTGTTTAGCTTATAACACTCTGGGTTGTGGCTTGCTGGCCTGCCCACACAGCTCCCTGTCATAGACATCACCCACGCTTTTCCTTCACCCACTCACTGTGAAAGTTTTCTCTTCTTTAGCAAGAAAAGAGAAATAAGCGAGACACAAGAAAGAATAAGCAAGAGAAATAATAAGCAAGGTGCAACCCCAGAGCTCCCCCTGGTAGCCCTGAGATGAAGCTCACCTGTGGCTGCTCTGAGTCCTGGGCCTCATTTGGCTCCTGAGTGGCTTGGATTGGCCACTCACCAGGTGTTGTAGCACACAGCATCCGCTGTTATGTTCCATTGGTGCATTTCTCCCTGGAGGCCTCTGAAGTCCCCTGCTTTCCCTCTCTCTGTAGGTTCAATCTTACTTTCTCGTGCCATGAGCAAGGAGCCAGGGAGAAAGTGCAGATTGCCCCACTTCCTTGTTCTTTTTTTTTTTTTGCTACCAGGAATCAAACTCGAGGCCTTGTGCTTGCCAGGCAGGCACTATGCTTTTGAGCTCTATCCTCAGCCCACCCCCTTCCTGTTTCTGTGTTATAGTCTGTCTCTTGAGTTTTTTGGTAGGCTCCAATTTTCCCTTCATATCCTTCATAGTTCTCCGACATCCATCTCTCTTCTCTTTTCCTTTTTCCAAGTTGTTATTTTCTAGTGTCTGTGTTCCGAATCTCAGAGAGGATGGTTTATTGCTGTTTACTACTACACCATCTCCTGGAAGTTCCAGGTCATACTGTGTCTGTGTTTTTGCCTACCTGTATTTTCACTTTTCATAAGAGTAGATTTTCTTTTTTAGTCCAGGTCTCACTATGTAGTTCAGGCTGAACTCACGATGTAGCCCAGGCTGACCTCAAACTAACTAGTGGCAATCCTCCTGCCTCAGCCACCCGAATACTGGGACTATAGGCATGTACCTTCATGCCAGATTGTGTAGGGAATTTTTTCTTTATTTTCTGATTGTTCACTGCAAGGATATAGAAATAAAATTGATTTTTGTATGTTTTTCTTGTATCTTGTCATATGACTGAACTCATGTATTAGTTCTACCCATAATTTATATTAGGTTTCTGATTTTTTTCCATAAACAAGATCATGTCATCTGTGATTCCTGAGTTTTAAAAATTTCTTCCTTTCCAGTCAGGATGCCTTTTTTTCATGCCTAATTGCTCTGGCTAGACTCATGGTGACTGTTAGTCCTGATATGTCAACTTCATTGGATTAGAGAGCACCTATTGGATTATTAAAGCACACTCCTGCGTGTTTCTGGGTTTGTCATGGATGTGTAACCACGCATACTTTCTGTGGTCCCTCACTTCCCTCCTTGGCACTGTCCCACTGCTGTCCTTCCCAGCCACTGTGAACTGAGCAGCTTTGCTCCTCCACATCTCCCTCTCATGATATTTTTGCCTAGCAGCCAGCTGACTATAGACTGAAGATGTGAGTTCATTAAACCTTTTCTCCTTTAAATGAAAGGTAGTGGTTACTGTGTCCAGCAGTGGGACTAATAAAGCTCTTCAGTGCAGTGCTGAGTAGAAGTGGCAAGTGTGGATATTTGTCTTCTTCCTGATCTTAGAGGGAAAGCAGTCATTCTTTCGCCATTAGTATAGTGCTAGTTCTGGGTTTTTCATTGATGCCCTTTGTCAAGGTTAATGAAGTTCCATTCCACCTTTTCTTTTTTTGAGACAGGGTCTCACTATGTAGTTCAGACTGCTCTGGAACTCACTGTGTAGCACAGGCTGGTCTCGAACTTGCAGCGATCCTCCTGCCTCAGCCTCCTGAGTGCTGGGATTACAGGCATGAGCCACCACACCTGGCCTGTGAAGTCAGTTTTTAATACCTAAATTCTTTGTGTCACATTGTTTTTCTCTTGTTTTACAAATTTTTCTCCTTGTCTTTGTGTTTGAGCATTTCTCCTGTAATTCCTCCATTTGTAGGTCTGTGTGTTTATCTTACTTGATATTTCTTGAGCTTGTGTGTGTAGGTTTATTTTTCAAGAAATTTGAGAAGTTTTCAGCCATTATTTCTTTATTTTTTGTGTGCCCCCCTTTTCTCTCAACCTTTCTTGTACCCCAGTTATGCATATGCTAGTGCACTTAACAATTTTACACATTTATGTAATGCTTCATTTTTTTTTTAACCTAGTTTTTTTTGGGGGTTGTGCTGAGAGTGAAACCAGGGTTTTACTCATACTAGGCACACAGTCTACCACTCTGAGCTATATCCACAGCCTTCATTCTATTTTTTTCTCTTAATCATCTCGCAGGGGCTTGGGATATAGCTCGGTGGCACTGCACCTGCCTGGCAAATGCAAAGACCTGAGTTTGATCCCTGGTACCAATAAAAGGAGGCGGCCTGATTAATCATCTTGAAAAGTCTCTGTGGGTCTGTCTTCAGGTTTGCCATTTCTGTTCAGTTCTATAGAGCCTGTCCAGTGACTGTTGTTTTTTTGTTTTTGTTTTGTTCTGTTTTTAATTTTTGTCACTTTCCTTTCAGTTCTGCAGGGTTTTTTTGTTTTGTTTTGCTTGTAGTACTGGGGATCGCACTCAGGACCTGGTGCTTTCGAGGCAGGTGTGGTGCCACTGAGCTAAATCCCTGGCTCACTCTTTTTTGTTTTTTGAATTCAGGGTCTAGCTGTGTAGTTCAGGCTACCCTTGAGCTCACTGTGTAGTCCAAGCTGGCCTTGAGTGATCACCTTATGGTGATCCTCTTGCCTTAGCCTCCTGAGTGCTGGGATTACAGGTGTGTGCTACCAGGCCTGGTTTGGAGTTTCTGTTTTTTTAAAGAATGGTAGTGGGGATCAAACCTGGGGGTACTCAGCCACTGAACTGTACTCTCAACCTGAGTTGTCCAGGCTGGCTTTGAATTTATTGTTTGTTTGAGAGGGAATCTTGCTTTGTGGTTCACCCTGGCTTTGAGCTCACTGTGTAACCCAGGATGACCTCAAATTCAACAGCAATCCTCTTGGCTCAGCCTCCCAATGCTGGGATTACAGGCATCTGCCACCATTCCTTCTAAGTCAACTGCATCTTCCCTTATTTCTTTAATCGTGATTTTCAGTATTTATAATGGCCATTTTGAAATTTTTTTCTGTTAAATACCATATGTGGTCATACTGCGAATTTCTTTGTCTGATTTTTTTCTTTTAGATTTATATGAGTCATACTTTCTCTTTTTTTCCTATGCTTCATGATTTTTTTGTAAAACCCTTAAAGTCAGATCGTATGGATACTATGTGTTTCTGGTTTTTCCCTTAGGGTAATATATATAAGATGGGCTAAGGGCAGTGACACGCTTTCTGAGTGATACCTTAACTCCAAGAGCTGAGTACTGAGCAAGGTATGGGGCCATCTGCAGTATGAGGTCCCCTCACCATCCTGTTAAAGTAGAACTACTGTCTCTCCTATGGATATGAATAAGAGGCCCCAGGATTCTCTGTGCTGTGCCTACAGTAGAGCTTCTGTCCCATGCACAGGGGTTGGGCAGAAGGGAGTCCCCTACCTTTGAAGCTGAAGTCTTGCGCTTGCATCTTGGGGAAGAGGGAGCTTGTTTCTTGTTCCAGCAGTCTGTAGTCAGGCCAAGATGGCAGGGGGTTGATGTAGTCTTGGTTCAAATACTTCAGACTTTTTTTTTTTACCTTGCTGAGGAAATTTTCATAGGCTTTATTGAACAAATGTTTCTTGATTTGCTATTTGCCCTTTGGACCATTTCCAGAGGTTCTGAATGTTTACAGTTCTCACCTTTATACACACTTTTCACTGAGGAGCAGGCAAGGAGAGCTTATGCTGTTAATGCTCAATCATGTGAAACTTTGAATTTTGAGCTTGCATTTATACTTCTGTGAAGCATAACTTAGAAAAGCATTTCCTTCTTTATAGTCCCTGACCACCCCCCATAAAGAACCATTGATATATCTCCTTAATGTCACAGCTTTAAGATACTGCTTTTATGATGCATGGTCTAGGAAATTGATTTCCCATCCTTTTTTGTTTTGTTTTGTTTTGAGACAGGGTCTCGCTATGCAGTTCAGACTACCCTGGAATTCACTGTGTAGCCGGGGCTGGTTTTGAACTCACAGTGATCCTCCTGCCTCAGCCTCCTGAGTGCTGGGATTACAGGCGTGTACCACCATGCCCAGCTATCCTTATTTTTCTTAAAGAATGGTTTCAGAACATGTGAAAGATTTTTAGGGAAAAATCTTCCATTGAGTACAGAGTTCATAAAGGAAATGAAAATAGTAATTTAGAAATTTTTTACATGGAAGGCACCAGGCGGTAGTTGAGTTCAAGTTGGTTTGGAGGAGTTACAGTTAAATCTTGGCCTCTGACCTGCTGTTTTTCTTTTTTGTACCAGGGATCGAACTCAGGACCCGGTGCTTGTGAGGCGGGTGGTCACACCACTGAGCCAAATCCCCAGCCCTCTCTGACCTCTTAAATACCAAAATCAGCAGGTGCCTTCTTCTGTTTTGCTGTCATCTTAAATTAAAATTTCAGTTTTCATTTTTTGCTGTTTTTTTGTTTTTTTGAGACAGGGTCTCACTATGTAGTTGAGACTGCCCTGGAACTCACTATGTAGCCCAGGCTGGTCTCAAACGCACAGTGATCCTCCTGCCTCAGCCTCCCAGAGTGCTGGGATTACAGGCGTGCACCACCACACCCAGCTCATTTTTTGCTTTTTGAGACAGGGTCTCATATTTAGCTCAGGCTGGCCCTGAACTCACTGTATAGCCCAGGCTAGCCATGAATCCACTCTGATTCTCCTGCTTCAGCTTCCTAAGTAGTGAGATTACAGGTGTGCACTAATAAAATTAAAATTTCTTTTGATTCTTTTATTTTATTTTTTCCTAGGGGCCACTCAATAGTGAATCTTCCAACCAGAGTTTGTGCAGTGTGGGATCCTTGAGTGATAAAGAAGTAGAGGTAAGAAAGTATATCCAGTGCAAAACTTTTTGTATTCCTGTACTTTAGTCTGGGTTTGTGATAGTCTGTGTGTATGGATCCCTTTTGAGTTGTGTGCTGTTTGTATCTATATAACTAGGCTGTAGCCCTAATGGGCTTTACAGTCATGTATAGACCTTGTCTTTAAAAATTTTTGGCATAGTTGCCATGAATAGTTGCATAAATATTTAGGAGTAGATAAATTAATTTAAGTACTCTTGAATTTTATAATTGTCAACATCTCAACAGTGGGCAGTGGCTGACTTGAATAATAGAATTTATTTATTTATTCATTCATTCATTCATTCAAGTACTGGGGAATCAGACCCAGGATCTTGCCCCTTGCCAGGCAGGCGCAGTACTGCTGAGCTACATCCCTGGCCCTTGAGTAATAGAATTTAAAGGGTTTTGTTTAGCTTTGTCTCCTTAAACAAAAGATCAGAATTAAAAAAAAAAAAAAGCAAATAACCTAGATGCAGGGCTGTAAGTATAAGTAAGCTTGCAACTACCTACTTTGTCCTTAGTCACTTGATCGGTTATGTAGATCTTTCTTTTTTGGAAGAAGTGATTGGGTTTAAACACTTAAAGTTATCTGAGAGGCTGCTGTGTGGGACCTTTGTGCTGTATATGTGTTTTATAAAATGTCTTATTTAAGCTTTGTAGCAGCACTGATTTATACACATGGACACATTGAAGCTGTGCTATTTTGAGCAACTTACCACAGTTACATACCTTTTCTTTTTCTCTGTTTTTAGACCAAGACCCTGATTCAGGATTGTCTGATAGTTATTATATCTCTTTTAAATATTTGATATTCTGTACATAACTGTATTTTTACTAATGTGAAAATTTTACCAAAGTGCTAATTGTGCCGTATATGGTATTTAACAGACTCCTGAGAAAAAGCAGAATGACCAGCGAAATCGGAAAAGGAAAGCTGAACCATATGAAACTAGCCAAGGTAGTAATAATTCCACACTCCATAAAGATACTGAACTCTTACGCACTTAGAATTTTCAGGCTTCTGGTAAATAATTAGTTTGTATACTGGGAGTCTAGACAAAAAAATTAGAGGAATATCAAGCTATATATTATAGACTAGCCATTTGATTAACATCTAATAAAACAGTATCAATTCTCTGGGGACTGTATGGGTTTTTCTTTAGACCTAACGAGCATGATAAAGAAAGGTGAAATTGGAGTTTTATCTGTATGTTCTACATTACATCAATGATTTGTTAACAGTGGTAGCCAGAGACAGTTTTCTTTCTGATATTTTCCTTTATACCCTCTGTTTTTTCTCTTTTTCTCCCCACCCCCTTTTCTTTTTTTGGTACTGGAGATCGAACTCAAGACCTTGCACTTGCCAGGCAGGTGCACTGCCACTGAGCTACATCCCTGGCCCCTCCCGCTGTTTTTTTATGGCACTTGTTTAGTTGAACATTGGAGCACACTGGAATAAATTTGTAAAGGTTATGTAATAATGTGAAATACTTCATATAATCAAAAAACAAGTTTTTTTTTCCTCTTCCATTCTAAAGAATAGAAAAAAATCTATAGATAATTCATTTTGTATTTTGGAAGGAATATTTTCTCAGGGACAGGGTCATACCAAGTTCTGTGTAAAGTAGAATCAACTCTCACTCTCATGAGTTTGTTTTGAACTGTCATTCTTTTAAATTGAGATATGGATTATAGGTGAGATTTGATTTTGTTTCCCAACTGTGGTATTGTTTTATTAGTATTTGTAAAAGAAGCATTATTGAATCTTAAAATGAGCCGTGAAAAATTCTTGCACTGCTGGTTCAGTCATGTATTATGTGGGCGAAATAGTCTGTTCTTTGAGGTACAGGTATTTTGGCTTTTGCATTAAAAGTAAAAGCTAACACTAGCTTATAGCAATGTATACAGTTACTGAACACATAATGCATTTTGGTGAATGATGGTTTACATATGCATTGGAAATTGTACTTACTTTGGTTTCATTTCCAGGGAAAGGCACTCCTAGGGGACATAAAATTAGTGATTACTTTGAGGTAAGTTAAATTTTGTGGGGGAATGCTGTAGTGTTTTTAAAAAACCTAAATTCTTATGTTCATTTAAGGCATTTGAAGGCAATATTTTGCTTTTACTGCGGTTCCCTCCCTTATCTCCATCTTCATCGACCTAATGCCTGCCAGCCCTCTCTCAATAAGAGGAAACTGCTGCTAATTTTCCAAATTTAAATTTGTTTATTATGTGTCTTGTCTGTGATGATACAAGAATTTACATATGAGGTGATTTATCTCTTGGCCAGTCTAGGTATTGTGTCTTTCAGAGATTAAAGTAGAGTGACTCGGGCTCTTCTTTTGTCCTCTTCCCTTAGTCCTATGGAACATGTAATAAGCTCAACGATCCATTGTTAGTGGTTATTAAGGAAGGCTAACATTCACTGCACCGCTATATTTCTGCTTTGTGTATTTTGAGACAAGAAGGCAAAACATTCTTCTCTTAGGTCCTTTCAAAACTACATGTACTTTCAGCTTTCTAGCCATGTTTTCTGTATATCTTGATACATTTCTGTGGGAGCTCCTTCTTAAAAATCTTGTAGAAAAGAACAGAATTTGGCTTAAGTGGCATTTTCTCTCTAGAATAAGATGTATTGACTTACAATGGCCATGTATAAGTAAGACCTGTTTGTGTATTAATCTTTTACTCTCCTTATCTGAAGCATAGTACTGTTTTGAATTATTCATATACATTTTTCCCTGTTGGCCAGTTTGCTGGGGGAAGCGGGCCAGGAACCAGCCCTGGCAGAAGTGTTCCACCAGTTGCACGATCCTCACCGCAACATTCCTTATCCAATCCCTTACCGGTAAGCATTCACCTGGAGAAATTTGACACCTGTTGTAGGAGACTAGAAGCCCAGGAACACTGGAGCAAAGATTTTATTCCACTAAATACCCATGGGGAATGAGGTGTTAGGGGAAAGACTTCATAGTATTGCCCATGAGTCACTTACTTAGATTCAAATCCATATCAGTAATTAACTTTATACAAGAGCTGCCCCTATCTGGTCAGTATAATAAATCGCCTCTATAAGCTGTATTGCTCAGTGGTCTGTCTAGGAAGTGATTCCAGTCCAAACACTAGGTTTTTATCCTTGTCCAGCTTACACGTTTCCTACAATTAAATTTTCTCCCCTTTTAAAAAATTGGTCAACTCCTGGTACTTTAATTATTTCTAGGGCTTACTTAGGAAGTAGAAAAGCTATACCATACAGATTGGTGTCTAGTCATTGAGTGAAATCTTAAAGTCTTGAAAACCTTAACTTTTTAAGTGCTGAAGTTAGCAGTTTCAACTAGGGGCAGCTATGCTACTAAGGGCATATTTGTCAGTATTTGGAGTTATTTTGTTGTCTTGTGAGGGAGTAGGGGGATGAGAGGCTAGGGGTGCTGGTAAACTTCCTACAAAATTAGGGCAGCCTCCCTACATCAAAGAATTATTTGATCCAAATGCCAGTTAGTGCTGAAGTTGATAATTCCTGAGCTAGTTAATTTAGGATTTTATGTTAATTTGATCCTTGTCCTTGGATAATTTGTTGATACTAGTCAAGACTTACACTCAAGAGTAGTATGTATAGACTGTAGGTATTGCTCTAGGTAGGATCTTAGGGGTTGGGGCTGCTGAGATGAGTTTTCATTCTAGATTTTTGTTTTTGTTTGAAACAGAGTCTTGCTATGTAGTTCAAGCTGGCCTTGACCTCACTGTGTAGCCCAGGCTGGCCTTCTACTCATTCGATCCTCCTGCCTCAGCCTCTTACGTGCTGGGATTGATTACAGGCATATGCCAACACACCTAGCTTTCTGTTTGTTTAGGAAAGTTTTTCTTTGCATCATTATAATTGGAAGCATTGCACTTTTCCTGTTTAGCCTTGTATATTGTTAAAACATTTTTACAATATATTTCCTTCCCTTCTACTAGTTAATAAAAATATGCTTTTATTAGGCTAATTATAATTATCGAAGCAGTCATTGAAGTGTAAGTTAAACTTATGAAGACAACTTTGGATTTTTTTTACTTAATACTGAGGATTGAATCCACTTGCCATATTTTTTTAAATGTTAGAAATGTTTGCCAGTTGTTGTGATCATGCTTGTAATCCTAGCACTCAGAAGGCTGAGGCAGGAGGATGACCTCAAGAGGAGGCCTGCCTGAGCAACATAGTGAGGTCAAGGCCAGCCTGAACTGCACAGTGAGACCTGTTTCCAAAAAAAAAGCTACATTGTGAGCTGTCTCAAAAAACAAAACAAAAAAGACATGCTTGATGTATAGACTTATTTGGGTAGGTTAAGGGTTTGTTAGCTAACTGTTGAAGAGGCGATTGTCTCTTTTTCTTAGATTTTAAACCAGTTAAAGTTTTAAAAATATTAAGTAATCCCTGCACTCTTGAGAGGCTGAGAGAGGAGGATTGCGTTTCAGTCCAGCCTGGACAATTTACTGACTCAGTGAGACCTTGTCTTAAAATTTTCAAAGGGCTGAGGATATAGCTCAGTATAAATCCCATGGTTTCAATCCTCAGTACAGTTGCAGATTATCTATTTGGAACAAATGTTTTGTAGAATTTCTCAATGTCTACCACTCTTTTCTTCCTGAAATCTTTTTCCGTTGGATTTTAATAGTGTGACCACCCAGTGTCACTTTTTAGGTTGAATACTACCTGAAGACAAAAGAGATGCATTCAATCTGTAGACATTTTCTGCCACTATATGAATATGACTGGGCCTCATCATCAGTATACAAATCTTAAGTATATATTAAGTGTTGAAATAAGAACCACACCTTACTTACCTTTTCCATTGCACTAAAAGCTCTTCATCTTCCTAACTTGGATTCTGTGCTTCATTGTAATAGTCACTGTGTGTTCTATTCAATTCTCTGTCTTCACCCTCTCACCATCAAAATTGCTGGGAAAAAAATAGCCCTGATTAAATCAAATCCTCTACTTTTTCTTTATTTGCCTCTAAGCAGTTCAGCAGGGTTGGAGGAAGGTACACTAAAGCCAACTGATTGTACTTTACATTCATGACCGTTTACCTCGTGTGTGCTTCCAGCTGCCTGCTAAATCCTACTGTAGTTCTAGTTAGTTCTCTTTCCTCAATGAAAGTTTCATATTTTGTTGTCCCCCACCTGCAACAACACTTCTAATTCAACCAACCACCTTGGCTCTTTTATTTTACTGAGAAAATAGAATCAGAAAAGAAGTCCCACATGCTTCTGTACTAGATCTAATACCGCTTCTGTCAACTCTGGGCAGAGGCCAGGGATGTTGGTAAACCTACTACAAAACCAGGACAGCCCTGCTGTATAACAGAGAGTTGTCTGATCCAAAATAATAGTGGCTTACTTCTTAATTCTCAAGTTAGCTAACTAACTGTGTTTAGGTATCCATTTCTTTTTGGAATGAATGAACTTGTCTGCCTTTCAGTTGGGTTCTGATTTCCCTAATAATTATATTTCGTATCCTTCTTCCTCTTTGACGTTTCCACTTACTGGTCTTATGTACAACTTGAACATTAACATATCCAGAAAGCAGCTCTTGCTTTCCCTTCATACCAAAACAACTACCATAAACTGCTCTTCCCTGACCAGGTAAATAACTTAGTTTACCCTGTCCACTTTTTCAGGTCATAACTCATGCCCTAGATATAATCCATCAGGAAACCCTGTTTTTCCTATAAAATATATCAGAATCTGATCACTTTTCTGTTTATAACATTTCTTTTGAATGAATGAACTTGTCTGCCTTTCAGTTGGGTTCTGATTTCCCTAATAATTATATTTCGTATCCTTCTTCCTCTTTGACGTTTCCACTTACTGGTCTTATGTACAACTTGAACATTAACATATCCAGAAAGCAGCTCTTGCTTTCCCTTCATACCAAAACAACTACCATAAACTGCTCTTCCCTGACCAGGTAAATAACTTAGTTTACCCTGTCCACTTTTTCAGGTCATAACTCATGCCCTAGATATAATCCATCAGGAAACCCTGTTTTTCCTATAAAATATATCAGAATCTGATCACTTTTCTGTTTATAGATTTCTGTATTAGCTTCCAGTATAATCTCTCCTTATTTTTTGTCCTCATGTCACAGATGGTGTCAGTATTACAGCATGAGTGATTGATAAAAAGTTAAGGCTCTTCCTGCCATTCCTATGCTCAAAATCTGTCGTGTGGCTTCCAGAATAAAAATTCTTGTGTGTTGTAATATCTCTTAATGACTTGTGGTCCCTGCTTGCTGGTTGCCCATTTGAGATAGCCATACTGCCCCTCTTAAACACTGTGAAGAACTCTTGCCAGAGCGACCTTGTCTTGCTAGTCCCTTTTCCAGGAACATTCTTTTCTATAGAAAGTAGCTATCTTTTTCTTTCTTTCTTTTTTGGTACCAGGGATCAAACTCGGGTCCTTGTGCTTGCAAGGCAAGCTGTAGAACCATTGAGCTAAATCCCTGGCCCTCTTTTTCTACATATACTAGCTATCTCTTTATGGCTCACAATGACCTTAGAAGTTAGCCTGGCATGGTGGTACATGCTTGTAATCCAGGGATTCTGGGAGGCTGAGACAGAAGGGTCATAAATTGAACCCCATCCCGGACAGTTTAGCAACTTATTGAGACCATGTCTCAAGATAAAAAAAAAAAAAGTAAAAAGAGCTGGAGATAATTAACTCAGGGCAAAAGCCCTGGGTTCACTCCCCAGTACTGTGGGTGGGGGAGCTAGCAAAGTAGTCCTCCCCGGCCACCTCTAAGATAGCTTTGTCACACCTTGTCATTGTCTCTGACCTTGCTTTGTACTAATTCTTATTTATCACCTCTCTCTTTTCCTCTTTTCTCTGACACAATTTTTTTAATTGATTCATAGTTATGCTTACATAAGAAGACACATCCACATCCATCCAGCACAGTGACACATGTTTGTAATCCCAGCTACTAACGAGACAGACAGGCAAGAGAATTACAAGTTGAAGGCCATTCTGGGCAATTTAGCAGAACCCTGTCTCAAAGTAAAATTAAAATTAAAAAGGGCTTGGAATGTAGCACAGTGTCAGGGTGCTTGTCTAAGCATAAACATTCCTCAGTACTGCCAGCAAAATGAAGAGTACACATAGAGTATATGTCTTCAGTGAGTTTTTACAAATGTACCAGTTTAAGAAACAAAATATTACCAGGCCTGCAGAAGTCTTGCCTGTGTTGCCTTCTACTTATTAGTCCCTTCTCAGCTTCACAGGACTTAGCTACTAGCCTGACCTCTAACAGACCTCTAATAACATAGAAATTTTTTTGTTTTTGTACTTTATGTAAAATGTACAGACTTTTTTGAGTCGGGATCATGCTATATTTTCCATGCTGGCCTTGAACTCATGGCAGTCCTCCTGCCTCATCTGTTTTTGTACTTTATGTAAAAAGATCATATGATATGCGCTCCTATGTCCAGCTCAAAATTTTCTCTTCATTTTTGAAACAGAGTCTCACTCTATAGTTCAGGCTGGCCTTGAACTATGTAGCCCAGGGCTCAGACTGACAGCAATCCTGCCAAGTGCTGGGATTATAGGCATGTGCCAACCATACCTGGTTTCCATTTTGTTTATTGTAGATCATTCATTGCCATTGATGTGCAATATAGTTTTAATATTTTTATTTAAGAATTTATATATTTTAACTTTATAATTCATGCCCGTCTTTGTTTACTAGGATGTTAATTCCATGAGAGCAGGGATTTTGCTTTATTTACTGCTGTTTACATCTCTTACAGTGATTATTACCTAAAGATGTGATTTTTTTTTTTGGTGGGGGAGGTACCGGGGATCAAACTC